AGGTTAACTAAGCGGCGGTTTCCCTTAAAGACACCAGGGGTGTCTTAACAATAGTCTCCGGCAGTGTAGGGTTTTTGGACCTCTTCTTTTTTTCCTCTACATAGCCACTCTGTCTGACTTCATCTCCTCACATGACTTTAATGCCCACTTATTTGCATAGGAAATCTCGATCTTCTTCTCTTTCCCTTCCTTTACACATAATCTTCCCTCCTGCATCTCTTGGTGCCAGTCTGACACCCTCCCCTTTCACTGCTCATTCTAAACACCATTCACTACTTTCCCCATCTCACTATCGTCCCATCACCCACTGCTTGCAACCTCGGGGACACCTTTGAGTCCATTATTTTTTGTAAACTTCATAGCCGCTGTTGCTTCTCTCTGTCATTTTAACCTGTTTAATATTCATAAAATCCTCCCCTGCTGAAAACTCTTTATCCATGCCCTCCTCTTCACCAGGTTTGATTATTGTAACTCCCTTCTCTTCACGTTCTTCCGCCTGTCTTCAAAAGCTCAATTGGATTTGGGTGCATCAGTGGTCTCTCTTTTTAAATGTCTTACCGCAGGATCCCTCAAGGATGACATAGTGTCAGGAAAATGGGTTTGTTTTCCTGACACTAAAGTGATCCTTTAACTCAAAGACTCAAAATTCTGTGTTTAATTTCATGCATTTTCATTAAAAGGCCACTAAAATAGTCAACACCAGCCCTTAAAGCTTAACCCAGCCTTGGGTTGTGTTCTGTACATTGTGTACTATTTACTAAAAGTGCTCAAACAGCAAGCAACACATATACAGTTGTAATCAGAATTATTCAACCCCTATTGAAAATCAGGTTTATTGTCAAAATGGACATACTTTCAGCTGTTTGCAATGGACAAATCATACAAAAGCAATTGAAATAGCTCAGCACAACAAATGCTTCAAGTTGTTTCCCCATTTTTAACTAAAAATGCAACTGAAAATGACTTCTCCAGTCTCAAAATGATTCAACCCTCTGAATAGAATCCCTCACAACAGCACAAATATGCAAAACAGGTGTTGTCTCAAGCTCACCTAATGCAGCTAATCAAGGGTTTCATTAGTCGTTTCAGGTGTGCTTGAGCTGGAACACTTGAAATGCCTGAACTGCCTAGGGGTTTGCTGGGTGACATGTTTAAACTGATGTTAGAAATATGGCTAAGTCCAAAGAATGATCCACAAATTAAAGAGATCGTCACCCTTCACAAACAAGGAACAGGATACAAAAATATAGCGAAGGCACTAAATGTTCCTAGAGACACAGATGAAATCATAGCTTGCAAGTTCAAAGCAGGGCCGGACTGGCCCACCGGGATACCGGGAAATTTCCTGGTGGGTAGTCGGCACCTGGGGCTGGGCAGACAGCTGGGTGCAGGGCAGGGGCGTACCTAGGGCATGTGGCACACGGGGCGGGTCCTGGGTTTGGCACCCCCCCGCTCCCCCTTCTCCAAAAAAATAAACCTACAAAATTTTTAAAATGTATTTTTTACATTTTTAAAAAAATTTATTGAACAAATTTGTAAACTTTTTAAAACCCCTGCCCTCCTCTACAAAATCCCTGCAACCCCTCACACACAGTTACAGGCAGACAGTCACACACAGTTACAAGCAGTCACATGCACACAGTCACATGCAGACAGTCACATATACAGTCACACACACGGTAACAGGCAGACAGTCATACACATAGTTACAGCCACAAACACACACAGTTACAGACAGTTACACACACAGTCAGTTACAGGCAGCCACGCACAAAGTTACATGCAGACAGTCACAGGCAGACAGTAACACACAGTTACAGGCAGCATCACACAGTCACAGGCAGACTGTCACACACAGTCACAGACAGTCACACACACACAGTTACAGGCATGCAGTCACACACACACACATACAGTTACAGGTAGACACGCAGTTACAGGCAGACAGTTACGCACACACACAGTTACAGCAGTTACACACACACACACAGTTTCAGGCAGACAGTTACACACACATGTTTACAGGCAGACAGTTATACACACACACAAGACACAGTCACACACACACACACACAGTTACAGACAGTCACACACACACACACAGTTACAGACACATATTTACAGGCAGACACGCACACACACACACACACAGTCACACGCACACAGTTTCAGGCAGTTACACACACACACACACACACACACAGTTTCAGGCAGTTACACACACACACACACACACACACACACATACACAGTTTTAGGCAGTTACACACACACACAGTTTCAGGCAGTTACACACACACACACACACACACAGTTTCAGGCAGTTACACACACACACACAGTTTCAGGCAGTTACATACACACACACACACATACACACAGTTTCAGGCAGTTACACATACACACACACAGTTTCAGGCAGTTACACATACACACACTCTTATACTTACAGACAGTGTGGGCTGGAGGAGTGGATTCCCTGGCCTGAAGTCCTTCCCTGGCTGGAGGTGGAGGTGCAGGGTTCATGTGCAGCAGTTACAGCAGCTTGTAAGGGCTTTGTTAAGCCCCGCCCCTTGCAGTTAGGCTCCACCCTAAATGTCAGTAGCTCCGCCCCTTCTTCCTCTTGTGCTGTCAGCTATGCTTGCTGGTCTCCGTGTGAGCTGTGCGACACCCCAGCTGCCATGGGGCACAGCCTACACAGCCCCCTCCAGTCCCTACCAGGTGGCACCCGGGGCGGACCGCCCCCTCCGCCCCCCCCCTTAGTCCGCCACTGGTGCAGGGGGAGCTGTGATGGAGGGCATTGGTGGTCGCAGGGGGTGTTGTGCTGTCACTGCTCTGCTCCCCCGCATGCTACTTAATGAGACCGGGGCTGGAATATGACATCATATTCTGGCCCCGGTCTCATTAAGCTGCGCACGGGGGGACAGAGCAGAGACATCACAGCTCCCCCAGCGACCACCAATGCCCTCCATCACAGCTCTCCCAGCGGCCGCCAATTCCCTCCATCACAGCTCCCCCTGCGGGCGCATCACACCCAGCTGTCTACGACAGGTAAAAATAATGTGTGGCAGTCTGTCAGTGTGAGTGTCTGTCTGTCTGTGTCATGCTGTGTGTGTGTCTGTCTGTCAAGGTGTGTGTGTGTGTGTCATGGTATGTGTCTGTCTGTCATGGTGTGTGTGTCTTTCATGGTGTGTGTCTGTGTCTGTCATGGTGTGTGTGTCTGTCTGTTTCATGGTGTGTGTGTCTGTCTGTGTCGTGGTGTGTGTGTGTGTCTGTCTGTTTCATGGTGTGTGTCTGTCTGTGTCATGGTGTGTGTGTCTGTCTGTTTCATGGTGTGTGTCTGTCTGTGTCTTAGTATGTGTGTCTGTCTGTGTCATGGCATGTGTGTCTGTGTGTGTCATGGTCTGTGTGTGTCATGGTCTGTGTGTGTCAAGGTGTGTGTGTGTGTCAAGGTGTGTGTGTCTGTCATGGTAGGTGTGTGTGTGTGTGTCTGTCATGGTATGTGTGTGTGTCTGTCATGGTATGTGTGTGTGTGTGTGTGTGTGTGTGTGTGTCTGTCATGGTGTGTGTGTGTGTGTGTGTCATGGTATATGTGTGTTTTTGTGTCTGTCATGGTGTGTCTGTGTGTGTTTAAAAATAGTGTTTTTACTAACCTTTTTTTTCCCACGCCATGCTGGTCTCCCCTTGACTGGACCTGCCTCTATGGCTGAGATCATCAAGTTTGATGATCTCAGCCAATCCAATGCTTTGCCATAAGATTGGCTGCAAAACGCTACACCAATCAGCATCTCCCCATAGAGATGCATTGAATCAATTTATCTCTATGGGGAATGTTCAGTGCCTCCAGAGAGTGGAGGCTCTGAATGTAGGTGCTGCACACTGTGTAGTACTGACACAGGAAGCACCTCTAGTGACCGTCTGAGTGACTGTCACTAGATGTGTCACATAATGCAATGTAAACACTGCCTTTTCTGTGAAAGTCAGTGTTTACATTGAAAAGCCTGCAGGCTATGTGCACCAGAACCACTACATTAAGATGTGTGTTTGTGTGTGTGTGTATATGTGTGTGTGCCTGCAGGGCCGTCTTTAACGCGGGGCAAACGGGGCAGCTGCCCCGGGCCCAGTTTCTCTTGGGGGGCCCGAGGCACCTGCCCTGTGGGCCCCGCTGCCCTCATCAATTTATTTTTTTCCCCCGTGCCACCGGGTGGCCCATGCACTTAGGGCAGTGGCGTACATACCAGGGTCGCGGCTGCGACCCTGGTATGCACCCACAGGGCCAGCGTCTTCCCCTGGGGGGCCCAGGAGGTGGCCACTCCAGGGCCCCCGAGGCTGGCCCTGCTGACCCCGGCGGGCGGGTGGCCGGTCGGACAGGAAGGCGGGCGCGCGAGGGAGCACTCAGTGCTTCCTCTTCAGCTCCCTCGCGCACCGCACTGATACCGGAGCCGGAAGATGACGTCATCTTCCGGCGCCGGCATCCTTACGCGGCCCACGAGGGAGCTGAAGAGGAAGCAGTGAGTGCTCCCTGGAGGAAGAAGAATGAATCATAACCTGAAAAGAACACTCTGCTTGCAGTTAAGGATGGTGGGGGCTCAGTGATGCTCTGGGGCTGCTTTGCCTCCTCTTGCACTGGAAAACTGCAGCGTGTGGAAGGGAAGATGGATTAGTTGAAGTATCAGGAAATCCTAGGAGAAAATGTGTATGCTGTTTGTGAGGAAGCTGAAGCTTGGGCATCATTGGACCTTCCAAAAATACAATAATCCTAAGCATACCTCAAATTCCACCAATCCTTGGTTTTCTGAAGTCCTGAAAACCTCTACAGTGGCCGTCACAGTCACCTGACTTGAACCCCAAAGAAAATCTCTGGTGGGATTTGAAGAAGGCGGTTTCAGCATGCAAACCCAAGAATATTACTGAACTAGGGGCCAATTCTCATGAGCAATGGGCTAAGGTTCCTCAGGAACGCTGCCAGAAGCTGGTGTCTAGCTAGGCATCTCGTTTGCAGCAGGTCATAACAGCATGAAGGGGTTGAACAGTTCTGAGACTGGAGAAGTCAATATAAGTTACATTTTCAGTTAAATTTGAGGAAACCACTTGAAGCATTTGTTTTGTTGAGCTATTTCAATTGCTTTTGTTTGATTTTGACAATAAATCTGATTTTCAATGGGGGTTTAAAAATAATAGTTGCCCGACCGGCCACCTGCCCGCCGGGGTCAGCAGCACCACTGGACCCCAGGGAATCCCCCCAGCACTCCAAAAGGTAAGGAGGCTGGGGGGATTACATTTAAATAAAAAAAATGTGTGTTTATGTGTTTGTGTGTTAGTGTATGTGTGTGTTAGTGTATGTGTGTTAGTGTGTGTTTGTGTGTTAGTGTATGTGTGTTAGTGTGTGTTTGTGTGTGTTAGTGTATGTGTGTTAGTGTGTGTTTGTGTGTTAGTGTGTGTTTGTGTGTGTTAGTGTTAGTGTGTGTTGTGTGTTAGTGTAGTGTATGTGTGTTAGTGTGTGTTTTGTGTTAGTGTAGTGTCTGTGTGTCAGTATGTCTGTCTGTGTGTCAGTATGTCTGTGTGTGTTTTTGTCAGTATGTATGTCTGTCTGTGTGTCAGTATATCTGTGTGTGTGTGTTTCAGTATGTCTGTGTGTGTCAGTCTGTCTGTGCATGTCAGTATGCCTGTCTGTGTGTGTGTCAGTATGTCTGTGTGTGTGTGTCAGTATGTCTGTCTGTCTGTGTCAGTATGTCTGTCTGTCTGTGTGTCAGTATATATGTGTGTGTGTATATCTGTGTGTGTCAGTATGTGTGTGTCAGTATGTCTGTCAGTGCGTCAGTATGTCTGTTAGTGCATGTGTATGCATGTGTCAGTATATCTGTCTGTGTGCCAGTTGTAACGGAGCTCCCTGTACTCCGACCGAGTACCCTCCGTTGATGGATGCTCCTAGCGCTTCCTGAGGACTCCAAACACTGCAGCAGACACCACAACCACCGCAGACTCCACAACCGCCGTAGCTTAACTGGAGTCTCGCCGTCTTCCTTCCACCCTGGATCAGCTTCTGTCCTCCAGGACCGTGTGGGGAAGACCTCTCCTCCAGGAGAGCGTAACAGGAACAGCTCTTAAAAGAGCTAAGTGATTAAAAGCTCATGGGAGTATGCAGAGCATAGCAATCCCCAGTGTGATATTGCAGTCCCCTCCAATAACGAGACAAGGCTACGTATTGAGGGTCAAGAAGATCTCATGTTTAATGGCACACACTCTGCTTTTATGAGATTCTGCCCATGCAAGGGAGACACCCACATAATTAGCAGTATAACCAATCGGAACAATATACATTCGGGAAATTCCCATCCCTCAGATAATCACATAACATAATTAAAACAGAACAGTAAAAATACAGTTTTTATACATGTACTATAACTTCCAAACTACACATCCAATCTTCATAAAAATTACATATTTGGAATCAATCCATTAAGGGGAGCAACATATTAAAAATGGCACAAATCAGACAAGGGGTTCAAAAGTTAGCAAAAGTGTCTTTTGGGGCCTGGCTGGCAGCATGGTTTTCTGGCCCAAACCGGTTTTACAGAGGCCTCTATCCTGGACAATGGGGAAAGTAATCCAATTATCCAGGGATAGAGGCAGACTCCATTAACCACATGTTAGCAAAAGACACAAAAAGACACAAAAATACATAACTCCTATTGAACTGAACAGAACCCCCACATTCAACCTATCCCCAGATGGCTTGGATCTGAGCGCTCAATATATCCAAACAGGGCTCAGATCCCACAAATACAGTCAAATCGCCATACACACTAGGTCCATAGTCATGGGGCAGAAGGCTGGCAATTAGGCTTCTCCATAACACAGGGAAGCAGGGCAATTTGTCAAATAAAATAACAGTTACAAATGGCAGTTTGTAACACCAGTATGTCTGTGTGTGTGTGTGTCAGTATATCAGTCTGTGTGTGTCAGTGTATGTGCCTGTGTGTGTGTGTCAGTATTTCTCAGTGTATGTGGGTGTCAGTATATCTGTCAGTGTGTGGGTGTCAGTATTTCTGTCAGTGTATGTGTGTCAGTATGTTGATCAGTGTATGTGTCTGTGTGTGTGTGTCAGTATGTCGGTATATGTGTCTGTGTGTCAGTATGTCTGTATATGTGCCTGTGTCAGTATGTCTGTCAGTACGTCTACCAGTGTATGTGTCTGTGTGTGTGTCAATATATGTACCTGTGTCAGTATGTCTGTCAGTGTATGTGCCTGTTTATCTGTATGTAGTCAGTGTATGTATCTGTGTATCTGCTTGTGCGTCAGAGTGTGTACCTGTGCATCTGAGCCGCAACTTTAAATACAAATACACCCCTCCATTCAAACTTCAACACTACATATAAAACACACTCCTGCATTGAAACGTCAACACTACATACAAGCACACTCCTACATTCAAAAACAAACACTACACATAAATGCACACTTGCATTCAAACTCCAGTACCACATACAAACACATTCACACAAACATACTCCATACAAACACATGCTTACATTCAAACATACTAACATGGCTCAGTGCTAAATACAACCCTGCAAGCATGGGAAATTGGTAGAGTCCCAGCTGTCAAAGCATTGTTGGAGTTGCACGACAGATGGGGTTCTACCTTTAGTCCAACCTTGCAATTGGGGGTCCCAATAAAATTCATTCTACTTTAGTACCGCCACTGCGTTGGGATGGATGCCGTGATTGCATACCAGGGAGTGAGGGGCGAGAGCGGCAGGGCCCAGGGGGCCCAAGCAAACACTTGCCCAGGGTCCATTCGTTATTAAAGACGGCCCTGTGTGCCTGCTAGTGAGTGATCTTGTGTTTTTATGTCAATGAGCTTATTCGTGTCAGTGAGATTGTCTGTGTCTGCCTGTGAGTGTGCTTACTGTATATTTAAATGTTTTACTCTGGAAGGACCGATATTGTATATTAGAAAAAGTAATATATATTTGAGATATTTTTTTATATATATATAAAACCTCAATCATCTGGGGTGGCAAGACATAGCCTTACATATTACATGCGACAATATATGGCGCAATGACTTTTGGGACTGGCATAGATTTTTTTTCCAGGGCTGCTTTGTATCCCCAGTCTGGCCCTGGTTCAAAGTTGAATGTACAGTGGTTACTCTACCTGGATGGGGCAGAAAAAGGAAGCTATCAATGGATGCAACCAGATTTCTGAGAAGGCAGGTTCTAAAAACCCCTCAAGTGACTGCAAAAGGCCTGCAGCAAGACTTGGTGTTAACAGGTTTCAGTAAGCACAGTAAAGTTCAAACTAAACGCAGAAGGTTTCCATGCCAGAACTCCACTAATGACCCAAAAGTAGAAGAAAAGTCAGCTCCAATATGCTCAAAATCATATAAATATGCCACAGAAGGTTTGGGATTCTGTTCTGTGGATGAAACAAACAAGAACTTTTTGGCCCAATGGATCAGCGGTATGCCTGGAGGAAGGAGAATGAATCATAACCTGAAAAGAACACTCTGCTTGCAGTTAAGGATGGTGGGGGCTCAGTGATGCTCTGGGGCTGCTTTGCCTCCTCTTGCACTGGAAAACTGCAGCGTGTGGAAGGGAAGATGGATTAGTTGAAGTATCAGGAAATCCTAGGAGAAAATGTGTATGCTGTTTGTGAGGAAGCTGAAGCTTGGGCATCATTGGACCTTCCAAAAATACAATAATCCCAAGCATACCTCAAATTCCACCAATCCTTGGTTTTCTGAAGTCCTGAAAACCTCTACAGTGGCCGTCACAGTCACCTGACTTGAACCCCAAAGAAAATCTCTGGTGGGATTTGAAGAAGGCGGTTTCAGCATGCAAACCCAAGAATATTACTGAACTAGGGGCCAATTCTCATGAGCAATGGGCTAAGGTTCCTCAGGAACGCTGCCAGAAGCTGGTGTCTAGCTAGGCATCTCGTTTGCAGCAGGTCATAACAGCATGAAGGGGTTGAACAGTTCTGAGACTGGAGAAGTCAATATAAGTTACATTTTCAGTTAAATTTGAGGAAACCACTTGAAGCATTTGTTTTGTTGAGCTATTTCAATTGCTTTTGTTTGATTTTGACAATAAATCTGATTTTCAATGGGGGTTTAAAAATAATAGTTGAAAAATAAGTGAGTAAATGTAATGAGGTAGATGGCCATCACAGAGTTGCCAATGAAACATTCTACCCATAGTGGCCATTGATGTTTATAAGGATGAGACAAATATAAAGCTGGATTACTAAAACTACTAAAACAACAAAAAATAATTACACACTAATACAAATTTACACAGAAATAGCCACAAACAAGATTCCACTGAGACTCAGGCAAATTATGATCAAAGGTTGTTTTTCTGAGCAAGCAGCACAAAGATTAAACAGCCTAATGCCTGAATTTGTGAAAGAACTAAAAGTAATTATAGCATTATTGTCCCCTCCCTGCTGAGGTTGACCAGGAACAGTTGTAGAACGAAAACAATTGTTAGTGTTGAGACAAAATAGTTGTAAATAGATGGTTTTAAACAGACTGCCAGGATCTAAGTAAGACAAAGCCCCCAACAATAGTACCCCATGAAGCAGGATGTGAGGGTGGGGGGTTAAACGTGATTGAGTCAGTAAATTGAATTGCATCGTAGTGCCAGCCAATGTAATCTGAATTACCATTCCTGGTTAAATACTTTGTTATTATTATTATGCAGCAGTTTTATTGCAAAATCAGGAAAAACATGCGTTTCGATCTCAACTGAGATCTTTTTCAAGCTTGAAATGTTGCATGTTTTTCCTGATTTTCCAATAAAATAAGTGCATAAGTGATCCTGAGTGCCTGGACCACATTTCTTCTTTCTAGACCCTCGATGTGTTACTTTCTCTCTCCCCTGCCTCTTTGTGTGTCACTTTCTCCCTCTAGCTCCATTGTGTGTCTCTTTCTCCCCCAGACCCTTGTGTGTCACTTTCTTCACCCAGCCCCATTCTGACCCTTCTCCCAGCCTCTTTGTGTGTGTATTTCTTCCCAATACCATTTTTGTGTCTCTTTCTTCTCACCCTAGTCACTTTTGGTATCCTTTTTCCCTGCTAACCACTTTGTGCCATATGACAGTAGTCACCATCACTGGGGATGAAAAATGGACACTTTATGAAGGTTCCCAGATTGCTCTTGTATTTTGGTCACCCTGTGCCCAGTATAGGAACAGGTTGTGTAGAATGTATTAACTGTCCAGGCTCTATGTGCCTATCCCCGTTCTCCCCTTTTTCCTGTCTTATTGTTTTCTCAGCAGGGCATTGTCCAATTGTTTTAGACCAATTCAAACTGGCTGTCCTGGCACTCCTTTAAATGTGGTTCTCAACCCTTGTTATTGTCTGTCCCCACCCTTGTTTGTATTGGTTGGTTATTGCCCAAGTCCATGTTGCTATTGGTTTACTTGGGATATGCAGTGGAATTGGTTACTATCCCAAGTCCATGCTGCTATTGGTTGGCTTGGGATATGTAGTTTAATTGGTTATTATCCCAAATCCATACCGCTATTGGTTGGCTTGGGATATGTAGTGTAATTGGTTACTATCCAACATCCATACTGCTATTGGTTGGCTTGGGATATGTAGTGTAATTGGTTACTATCCCAAGTCCATACTGCTATTGGTTGGCTTGGGATATGTAGTGTAATTGGTTATTATCCCAAATCCATACCGCTATTGGTTGGCTTGGGATATGTAGTGTAATTGGTTACTATCCCAAATCCATACTGCTATTGGTTGGCTTGGGATATGTACTGTAATTGGTTACTATCCCAAGTCCATACTGCTATTGGCTGACTTTGGATATGTAGTGTAATTGGTTACTATCCCAAGTCCATACTGCTATTGGTTGGCTTGGGGTATGTAGTGTAATTGGTTACTATCCCAAGTCCATACTGCTATTGGTTGGCTTGGGATATGTAGTGTGATTGGTTACTATCCAACGTCCATGCTGCTATTGGCTGGCTTGGGATATGTAGTGTAATTGGTTACTATCCCAAGTCCATACTGCTATTGGTTGGCTTGGGATATGTAGTGTAATTGGTTACTATCCCAAATCCATACTGCTATTGGTTGGCTTGGGATATGTAGTGTAATTGGTTACTATCCCAAATCCATACTGCTATTGGTTGGCTTGGGATATGTACTGTAATTGGTTACTATCCCAAGTCCATACTGCTATTGGTTGGCTTGGGATATGTAGTGTGATTGGTTACTATCCAACGTCCATGCTGCTATTGGCTGGCTTGGGATATGTAGTGTAATTGGTTACTATCCCAAGTCCATACTGCTATTGGTTGGCTTGGGATATGTAGTGTAATTGGTTACTATCCCAAGTCCATACTGCTATTGGTTGGCTTGGGATATGTAGTGTAATTGGTTACTATCCCAAATCCATACTGCTATTGGTTGGCTTGGGATATGTACTGTAATTGGTTACTATCCCAAGTCCATACTGCTATTGGCTGACTTTGGATATGTAGTGTAATTGGTTACTATCCCAAGTCCATACTGTTATTGGTTGGCTTGGGATATGTAGTGTAATTGGTTACTATCCCAAGTCCATACTGCTATTGGTTGGCTTGGGGTATGTAGTGTAATTGGTTACTATCCCAAGTCCATACTGCTCTTGGCTGGCTTGGGATATGTAGTGTAATTGGTTTCTATCCCAAGTCCATACTGCTATTGGTTGGCTTGGGATATGTAGTGTGATTGGTTACTATCCAACGTCCATACTGCTATTGGTCGGCTTGGGATATGTAGTGTAATTGGTTACTATCCCAAGTCCATACTGCTATTGGTTGGCTTGGGATATGTAGTGTAATTGGTTACTATCCCAAATCCATACTGCTATTGGTTGGCTTGGGATATGTAGTGTGATTGGTTACTATCCAACGTCCATGCTGCTATTGGTTGGCTTGGGGTATGTAGTGTAATTGGTTACTATCCCAAGTCCATACTGCTCTTGGCTGGCTTGGGATATGTAGTGTAATTGGTTTCTATCCCAAGTCCATACTGCTATTGGTTGGCTTGGGATATGTAGTGTGATTGGTTACTATCCAACGTCCATACTGCTATTGGTCGGCTTGGGATATGTAGTGTAATTGGTTACTATCCCAAGTCCATACTGCTATTGGTTGGCTTGGGATATGTAGTGTAATTGGTTACTATCCCAAATCCATACTGCTATTGGCTGGCTTGGGATATGTAGTGTAATTGGTTACTATCCCAAATCCATACCGCTATTGGCTGGCTTGGGATATGTAGTGTAATTGGTTACTATCCCAAATCCATACTGCTATTGGTTGGCTTGGGATATGTAGTGTAATTGGTTACTATCCCAAGTCCATACTGCTATTGGTTGGCTTGGGGTATGTAGTGTAATTGGTTACTATCCCAAGTCCATGCTGTTATTGGTTGGCTTGGGATATATAGTGTAATTGGTTACTATCCCAAGTCCATACTGCTATTGGTTGGCTTGGGATGTGTAGTGTAATTGGTTACTATGCCCCGTCCATACAGCTACTGGCTGACTTGGGATATGTAGTGTAATTGGTTACTATCACAAGTCCATGCTGCTATTGGTTGGCTTGGGATATGTAGTGTAATTGGTTACTATCCCACGCCCATACAACTATTGGCTGACTTGGGATATGTAGTGTGATTGGTTACTATCCCAAGTCCATACCGCTATTGGTTGGTTTGGCATATGTAGTGTAATTGGTTATTATCCCACGTCCATACTGCTATTGGTTGGCTTGGAATATGTAGTGTAATTGGTTACTCTCCTAAGTCCATACTGCTATTGGCTGGCTTGGGATATGTAGTGTAATTGGTTACTACCCCAAGTCCATACTGCTATTGGTTGGCTTGGGATATGTAGTGTAATTGGTTACTATCCCAAGTCCATACTGCTATTGGTTGGTTTGGGATATGTAGTGTAATTGGTTACTATCCCAAGTCCATACTGCTATTGGTTGGCTTGGGATATGCAGTGTAATTGGTTACTATCCCAAGTCCATACTGCTATTGGTTGGCTTGGGATATGTAGTGTAATTGGTTACTATCCCAAGTCCATACTGCTATTGGTTGGCTTGGGATATGTAGTGTAATGGGTTACTATCCCACGTCCATACTGCTATTGGTTGGCTTGGGATATGTAGTGTAATGGGTTAGTATCCCAAGTCCATACTGCTATTGGTTGGCTTGGGATATGTAGTGTAATGGGTTACTATCCCAAGTCCATACTGCTATTGGTTGGCTTGGGATATGTAGTGTAATTGGTTACTATCCCAAGTCCATACAGCTATTGGCTGACTTGGGATATGTACTGTAATCGGTTACTATCTCAAATCCATACTGCTGTTGGTTGGCTTGGGCTCACTGTGCTATTTGGGAGGGGGTTACGGTGGAAGAGCTGGTGGGGAGCTTTATATAATCTTAAGACCTAAGGGGAAGCCGAAATGTTGGGCACAGATGTAATTGCCACAATTTGTACGTTTGCACAATTAAATATTTTAAATTACAAAGTCTTGAGAGTGCAGCAGTTTACGCCAAGTTTTTTTGCATATACATCATTGGACAGCACCAAGGCATTAGATTTAAAGATAGAGAGACAGTTTTATTTTTGTTCATCTTTATATACACATACAGTTGTTAAATTTGAACATGTGTTTATTAAAACATAGAAACATAGAATGTGACGGTAGATAAGAACCATTCGGCCCATCTAGTCTGCCCAATTTTCTAAATACTTTTATTAGTCCCTGGCCTTATCTTATAGTTAGGATAGCCTTATGCCTATCCCACGCATGCTTAAACTCCCTCACTGTGTTAACCTCTACCACTTCAGCTGGAAGGCTATTCCATGCATCCACTACCCTCTCAGTAAAGTAATACTTCCTGATATTATTTTTAAACCTTTGTCCCTCTAATTTAAGACTATGATCTCTTGCTGTGGTAGTTTTTCTTCTTTTAAATATAGTCTCCTCCTTTACTGTTATAAAATACATACAATGGTGGATCACACTTTTTAATATACCTAAAATAGAAACATAGAACCATATAGTGTAATACAGTTTATATTTCAATAAATATGAAGATTGTAGAGGTCGTGTACTCACAAGCCTGGAGCCAAATATAATCATATGGCTCCCATGAGTGGTGCAGTGGGATTATTGTACAGGACATCCCTGTCCTTCTTCTCGTTGTACTTGAAGTCTCAGGACTGACGTTTTAAAGATGATTTGACGATAAATACTTCTAAAAAAAAATATTTTATTCCATGTATAAAAAGCAATAAATAAAAACATAAGGACTGCTCTTATAAAAGGAAAAAGGAATGCAAGAAGCAGAGTCCAGAATAGCCAAATGGCTATCAAAGTTCATAAAACTGCACTAAAAAGTACCCTTTTTTATAAGTTTGTTCTTTTTATTACCATCCCTTATTTGCATCATAAAATTGCTATATTCATATAAAACATAAAGTATATAAGCTACTTTTTTTTCAATGATCTCTTAAGAGTTTATACATGAAAGAACTGTATTTGATATAAAATGATATGAAGAAATATGTTATGCGTCCCATAATGCGTTCCAGTGACGTCATAGAGGCGCCAGAATGAGGATCCGGAAATGACGCCAGTGACGTTTGGAATGCATCATGCGTTCCAAATGCTGACATCGAAATCCGGAAGTAAGCCGCACGAGCGGCATAAAAAGATGCCAAAGAGCCCACACACACCACTACCGACTGAGGAAGCCCCAAATATGGGGCGAAACACGTATCGGATCTATTTCAGACATTTGGACTCACTAATATATTGGCACTTACTTTTTAGTGCAGTTTTATGAACTTTGATAGCCATTTGGCTATTCTGGACTCTGCTTCTTGCATTCCTTTTTCCTTTTATAAGAGCAGTCCTTATGTTTTTATATATTGCTTTTTATACATGGAATAAAATATTTTTTTTAGAACTATTTATCTTCATATCATCTTTAAAACGTCTGTCCTGAGACTTCAAGTACAACGAGAATAAAAAGGACAGGGACGTCCTCCCACTGCACCACTCATGGGAGCCATATGATTATATTTGGCTCCAGGCTTGTGAGTACACGACCTCTACAATCTTCATATTTATTGAAATATAAACTGTATTACACTATATGGTTCTATGTTTCTATTTTAGGTATATTAAGAAGTGTGATCCACCATTGTATGCATTTTATATTTGTTATTGCTAGAGTGGTTTGAGGGGTTCCACTCAGGTGGTTACAACAGATTTTGTTGTTGCACTCTATCACTTAATTCACTGTATTTGTTTTATTTTCTCCTCCTTTACTGTTGATTCCCTTTATATATTTAAATGTTTCTATCATATGCCCCCTGTCTCGTCTTTCCTCCAAGCTATACATGTTAACCTTTAACCTTTCCTGGTAAGTTTAATCCCACAATCCATGAACCCGTTTAGTAGCCCTTCTCTGAACCCTCTCTAAGGTATCAATATCCTTCTGAAGATACGGTCTCCAGTACTGTGTACAATACTCCAAGTGAGGTCTCACCAGTGTTCTGTACAATGACATGAGCACTTCCCTCTTTCTACTGCTAATACCTCTCCCTATACAACCAAGCATTCTGCTAGTATTTCCTGCTGCTCTATTACATTGTCTGCCTACCTTTAAGTCATCAGAAATAATCACCCCTAAATCCCTTTCCTCATATGTTGAAGTTAGAACTCTATCAAATATTCTGTACTCTGCCCTTGGGTTTTTACGTCCAAGATGCATTATCTTGCACTTATCCACATTAAAATGTCAGTTGCCACAATTCTGACCATTTTTCTAGTTTACCTAAATCATTTGTCATTTGGCTTATCCCTCCTGGAACATCAACCCTGTTACATATCTTAGTATCATAAGCAAAAAGACATACCTTACCATCAAGACCTTCTGCAATATCACTAATAAAAATATTAAAGAGAATGGGTCCAAGTACAGATCCCTGAGGTATCCCACTGGTGACAAGCCCAAGCTTCGAATATACTCCATTGACTACAACCCTCTGTTGCCTGTCACTCAGCCACTGTCTTACCCATTAAACAATATTGGAATTCAAACTTAAAGATTGCAGTTTATTGATGAGCCTTCTATGTGCAACAATGTCCAAAGCCTTACTGAAATCTAGGTAAGAAATGTCTACTGCACCAACCTGATCTATTATTTTAGTTACCCAATCAAAAAAAAAAATCAATAAGATTAGTTTGGCATGATCTCCCTGAAGTAAACCCATGTTGTCTCTGATCTTGAAATCCATGTGATTTTATATGTTCAACAATCCAATCCTTTAACATGGTTTCCATCACTTTCCCCACTACTGAAGTAAGGCTTACTGGCCTATAGTTGCCCGACTCCTCCCTACTACCTTTCTTGTGGATGGGCACAACATTTGCTAACTTCCAATCTTCTGGGACTATTCCTGTTAACAATGATTGGTTAAATAAATCAGTTAATGGATTTGCTAGTACACCACTAAGCTCTTTTAATAATGTTTGTTTGTCCACCCACTGTAAAGCGCTGCGGAATTTGTTGGCGCTATATAAATAATAACATAATAATGACAATGTACAAGTCAGCTAGTCCACCTCAGTCATGGCTGACAGGGTTCAAAATTTCCACTCACTATTGGCAAGTGAAAATTCAGCCCTGGCGAACAGAGATGTACCCCTATTGAGTGAGACACGGCCCATACAGGTATTCAGTGGCAATAAGGTTTTAGTCCTATCCTTAGAGTTAGACTGTTGAGTCCTTGGACTGAGGTATACATTTTGGAGAACCTGGTCTACCTTTCAATTAAAAAAATCTATAAATTAAACTGTCTTATATTGTGTACATTTCTAGTATGAAGACGTTAACACAGGAGGAGAGTTTATAATACGTTATTAAACCGTTGGTGAGCATGGAGAGTACTAGTCACTTGTTTATGAACCATTTCTCTATGCTTGGTATAGTCTGGTAGCCATTGACCTGATGTAAAACAGAACAAGCTTTGCAGAAGTGAGTATCCCAACCTATGTTTCTTTCCACAGTGTAACGTGATCTCCAGTTGAAGTATTGCTTGTACTTCACATCGTCTTTATCAAGGACTAGCAAAAATTCTGACAAATCTTTAGGGCTGGAAAAATCATCCACGTGAATGAAAGAGTCTGAAGGCATGAAGCGTTCATAATTTTCCCGGGTAGCTCCAAGAACCACAGGAACCATCATATTGCCAAACGCATTACGCCATAACTTTTCTGTAATGTAGTCCTTGTGTCCACAGTTTTCAAATGCTAAGTAAAATTTATACTGTTCAAGGGTGCTTGAAAAATCTTCCCAATTAAGTGGTTTGTGTTCCTTTCCGTAGACATCAATTTGGATGTATTTCCTAAGCTCTTCATAGTACTTAGTCCTACGGTTACCTGAGTACCACATACTAACTAACCACGCCACAAGCTTGGTCTTGGTGGGAATGGTAAAGGTTTGAGGTATATTCATTTGCTTCAGAAAACCATAGGGAATGAAGATATCAGAGTCCTGTCTATAGGTCATTGTCAGGTTTATAAGATTCTCTACCATATCAAGGTTCTTTATGATAATAGGAGATTCAAAGTTGAACCAAACCCATCGTTGGTAATGAGGTCTTGGACCCTTGGGCAGTAAATCTCTACTTTGCATTATATCATAATGATGAATGATTATAGCATCAGCGTGGTCAGAGACATTTCTATCTATTGTCAGGTTGCACCCCGGGACACCAAACTCTGACAGGCAAGTGTCCAATGGAAAGCGCTCTCCGAACGGCCATGTCCAGACAAGGATGAGAAGTGGCTTAATGTCCCCTCTTCCTTTGTAGTAAGGTTGTAGTTCTGCATGTCTGCTGCATGCACCCTCTTTTGGGATGTCGACGGTTGAGACAAATATGCAGAACCAGATAGAAATAATCACAAGGAGAACAAGGAGTATTAAAAAAAAGATGCAGAGTAATCTGCGTTTCTTTGATTTTCTGCGAGCTGCAAGTAGAAAAAACAAGTTAAATGGTCTTGAATAAGAATAACTGACAGCTAACATCCTACTTCAACATAATGGCTAAAGTATACCATCAATTATATTGGCAAAGCGGAACTGGAATTTACACCATTGAGTAAAACATTGAAAATCCCCTATAATCTAGAATTTACACGTTAACCTTTTTCATGAGATGTTTTGTTTTCTTTTAAATTATATTAAACATTCAGCAGATTACATCATATTCCAATTCAGATACAGCACAGACAAGGCAAATATTGCTAGTGTGCTTTCCCTGCTCTGACTGTCAGATACAAAGAACAGAGTTTATAACAATAACTCACAAGGAGCCAGGATGGAGGTAGCCATTGGCAAGATAAAGAGTTCAGCATTTCTACATTTAATTTTATTTGTTACACTTCACAAGTATGTAAGTTAGATATAATGATGAATTAACATGATGCCGAGAAGTGCAACCTTCTCGTTTAATTTTTATAGAAAATGTACTCATAAAAATGTTGCCACACTAAGGGAATGGGACCGCCATGCTAGCCGGCAGTCACATTCAGTAGTTCCGATATAGGGCTCCCAACATTGGCCCACAAAGCATATAAAACCCGCACCTAGTGCCTCTATATTGCTAGGTTCTGATGGGGGAACATGACAGTTTTACAATGATGCTGGCCTGAAATGGAACGCCTCATAAGAAGGGAACAGGTGGTGACTTGGGCCTGCAGACAGATGAGAGTGCAGCGCAGCCCAGGATGCCAGACTGGCCCATACCTGCCGGAGACACAGTGCCTATGTTACGGTTTGGCAACACAAATGATGAGCCAACCTCGTAGGCAGACGGAGAGGAGAGGGGGGAGAACTCAATAGGGTTTAGGACTGGAGACATGCTTGGCCAGTCCATCACCTTTACCTTCAGCTTCTTTAGCAAGGCAGTGGTCGTCTTGGAGGTGTGTTTAGGGTTCTTATCATTTTGGAATATTGGAATATAGGCAAGACACTGTCTTTGTACTCCTCACCTTGCTGCTGCCAGACACACTTGACACCATCTGAACCGAATAAGTTTATCTTGGTCTCATCGGACCACAGTATATGGTTCCAGTAATTCATGTCCTTAGTCTGCTTCTCTTCAGTAAATGTTTGTGGGCTTTCTTGTGCATCATCTTTAGAAGTGGCTTCCTTCTGGGAAGACAGCCATGCAGACCAATTTGATTCAGTGTGCGGCATATGGTCTGAGCACTGACAGGCTGACCCCCCATCCCTTCAACCTCTGCAGCAATGCCGGCAGCACTCATATGTCTATTTCCCAAAGACAACCTCTGGATATGACGCTGAGCACATGCACTCAACTTCTTTGGTCAACCATCGCGAGGCCTGTTCTGAGTGAAACCTGTCCTGTGAAACCGCTGTATGGTCTTGCCCACCATGCTGCAGCTCAGTTTCAGGGTCTTGGCAATCTTTTTATAGCCTAGGCCATCTTTATGTAGAGCAACAATTCTTTTTTTTCTGATCCTCAGAGAGTTCTTGGCCATGAGGTGCCATGTTGAACTTCCAGTAACCAGTATGAGAGTGTGAAAGCGATAGCACCAAATCTAACACCCCTGCTCCCCATTCACACCTGAGACCTTGTAATACTAATGACTCACATGACACCGGGGAGGGAAAATGGCTAATTTGGGCCCAATTTGGACATTTCCACTTAGGAATGTACTCACTTTTGTTGCCAACAGTTTGGACATCAAGTGTGTTGAGTTATTTTGAGGGGACAGCTAATTTACACTGCTATACCGGCTGTACACTTACTGCTTTACATTGTAGCAGAGTGTCATTTCTTCAGTGTTGTCACATGAAAAGATATAAAATATTTACAAAAATGTGAGGGGTGTACTCACTTTTGGGAGATACTGTATGTGGTTTTATTTGATTTATTGTTTTACATTATTTTTTATATATTGTGATACAATGGAAATATAAATATAAAGTGGAAAAACCTAATCCATTAATTAGAAAACACAGTCACGTACCATTAAATAATAATATTTCAATCCATTGGAGCTCAAGCAGAAGTACAACTAAACAAATAGGCAAGTGCACTGACTACTGTGTATGTGTAGAATAAGAACAGTAGCCCCCACAAGATAGAAAAGGGGTTCAGACTTTGTGAAAGGAGCCTGGGGTATCATGGAGCTAAGCCCTAAATATTTCCCCTTTAACAATAGACCACTGTGACAAACTCTTCCTTTCCTGTGAGTTTGCCACGAGTCCTTGGAGGGGCCTGTTTTGGTAACTGAGCAGCCACACAAACCGGAGACCACCCTGGAGCTTGTTAAGCTTAATTGATACATTGTTGAAATTTCCACTGTCTAAGTGTTCGTCTGGGTGGCCGCAATTCCTATGGATGACCACGAGGTAGCAGCCATCTTGTTCACATGCACCAAAACCACGAATAGACTTCAGGAGGACTTAGCCGCGAATGTCCTGGAACTATTTTTGGCTATGGGACCACGCCTGCGGTTGGTAAAAACTATGACTTCCAGGAAATTACTGAACCCCTGAACTCATCTGGGGGATTTTTGGATATGTTGGTCACCCAGATCAGGGCTATCAGAAACGTTTGTGGGGTTTTATGTAGTTTTGGGGTACTTTTGGGGTTTTATAAAATATGTGTTTTTTCTGCGTGGAGATAATTGAATTGATACAGTATCTGACTCAATTATCTCCAAGGCAGAGAGGAGGGATTGTATGTTTGTTATGGGAGTATTGTGCATTTAATCACTGTTCTTATTGGTCTGTGTCTTTGTGTTAGAGTCCCCAACAAGGTCCATGTGGGCGTACCCCTTGCATGGGGATTGTCATAAAAGGAGACCAGTTCCTCTTCACCCTCAACATAAAGCCTCGTCTCATGTGTAGAGGGGACAGCTATATTCACTCTGGGGATTGCTATGTTCATTATACTCCCCTAGCTTCTAATCATTTGCTTTTTTAAGAGTAGCCTGCTACACTCTCTGGAGTAGGAGAGGTTCACCCACTGGAAGCTGGATCCTGGTCTTGGGTCCAGGGTTGGTGAAGGACGGCGAGACCCCAACCAAGCTGCGGCGGTTTGTTGGGTCTACGGTGCTGATGGTGTCTAGTGGAGTGCTTGAAGTCCTCGGTGAGCACTAGGACCATCGATTGACTGAGGTACCCGGTTGGGGTGCCAGGCGGTCCGTCACAATCACACCTTGTTTACATTGGATTTTATTTTTAGTTAATTATTTTGTATTTTATTTTACGTAAATAAGTCACCTTCAATCAGCTGTAGTTCCAGGATCTTGATTATTTATTAGATACCAGAGTGTATGTTGTATATTTATGTATTATTACTGTTTGGTCACAAAATCACTGTTTGCACCAGTTATTAATATTAATACACCTAGTATGCACCTAAGTCTATAACACGGATGCATAGTGTCTCTCTATAAGAGATCCACAGTGAATATTACATTTATTGCTGTGCACCATCACTGCTGTATGTTTCATTGTGTTCAAATCTCATTACCAGGGTTTGTTTTGTTGGTTGCTGCACTTGTCAGATCTACCATTCCTTTTGCGCCATCCTATTTATAGTTGCTTTTACTGATTATTTATTTATTAACTAAAGCTGTAGTCACTGGCAAAAACACATGTTCATTCAATAATGCATACTTTGAAATGAAAGAATAGAGAAAATATATTGATACTTACCGTAATTTTCTTTTCCTGGCTATTATTCATGGCAGCATTTAACATATGGGTTTAGCTCCTCCCTCTAACCCTCAGGACAGGAAACACAATCAATTAAACAATTAAGCCTACCTTCCCCTAGTATATTAGGTACCCCAGTATCCTCCACACCTCAGTCCAGTAACAAGACAAATAAACCAAGAGAGGGTGGGAGACCAAATGCTGCCATGAATAATAGCCAGGAAAAGAAAATTACGGTAAGTATCAATACATTTTCTCTATTCCTGGCTAATCATGGCAGCATTTAACATATGGGATTCCCAAAGCAATAACCACTCAGGGAGGGTAAGTCATGCTACAAAAATTGTTTAATATCCACTTAAGGCTTATAAGAGTTCAGGACCGATAGGCCAAACTCTGAATCAGAACGAGATAAGATATCCACTCTGTAGTGATGTACAAAGGTTTTTAAAGATGACCAATTGGCAGCTTTACAGATGCTCTCTGCAGGAACTCCTGACTCTGCAGCCCATGAAGTAGCAATGGACCTCGTGGAATGTGCCTTGATGTCCTTGGGAACTGGAACCCGTTTAGTTCTGTAAGCTTTAGAAATAGCCTGAACAGTCCAGGAATGAAGGGTTGCGACAGAGGCAGCTTCACCTTTACGAGAACCCCAAGGTATCACAAACAATTGGGGAGACTTTCTCCAATTAGCTGAGCGTGCAATATATGTGGAAAGATACCTCCTTAGGTCTAGCGTATGACATCTTTCTTCTTCAGGAGACGATGGCTCCTGAAAATACCCTGGCAGGACAATCTCTTGATTCAGATGGAAGGATGTAACAACCTTAGGAAGGAACTCAGGTCTAGGCCGTAGCACAACTCTATCATCGAAGAAGGTAATGAACGGTTCCTCAGACGACAGCGCTCTAATATCTGACATTCTCCTAGCAGATACCAAGGCCAGTAACAACAGGGTCTTTAGAGAAAGAACCTGCATAGGGACCTCATCAATAGGTTCGAAGGAATGTTCTGTCAAGGCCTGCAGAGCCAGAGGCAAATTCCAAGGAGCAGAGAATACCTTGATAGGAGGTCTAATCCTAATGACTGCTTTGAAGAAGTGAATTACAATAGGATTCAATGCCCAACGAATACCGGAAAGAGCTGAAAGAGCCGAGCAGTGCACTTTAAGCGTGTTAAGTTGAAGGCCCCTCTCCAGGCCTGCTTGCAGGAAACCCAAAACCTGAGACACGGAAGGGGAACCTAAATCTTGAACCGTGGAATTACACCATCGAGCAAAGGCTTCCCATACCTTATGGTAAGTAGAAGAAGTAGAAGGATTCCTGGAACGTAACAGGGAAACCAAGGGCGACGAGGCCAGAAGGGAAGTACAGCTATCACCTTGCAACGTTCCTTGGAGATCTTTCTCAGAACAGCGTGGATGAGGGGAATTGGAGGAAAGACGTAAGCCAGATCGAATACCCAATTGATGGATAGAGCATCCTGAGCAACCGCCTTTGGATGGTATCTCCTCGACACAAAGCATGGAACCTGCGCATTCCGAATGGTCGCCATGAGGTCTACTTGGGGAAGACCCCACTTCTGGACCAACTGAGCGAAGATCCTCCTGGAAAGTTGCCATTCTGAAGCCTCTATCCGATGTCTGCTGAGGAAATCCGCTAATATATTCTCCTTCCCTGGGAGATAGATGGCACACAGGCCCTCCACATGATTCTGAGCCCAGGTCATAATGGGAACCATCTCTCTCATCAGGGCTACACTCCTTGTTCCGCCTTGATGGTTTATGTAGGCAGCAGCCGCTTTGTTGTCCACTCTCAACTTGACCCAGCAATGCCTGATGACATGCTGAAAATGAAGAAGAGCCAGAAAGGTTGCTCTTAGCTCCCTGATGTTGGAAGGCAAACATTGGGTTCTTAGAGGCCAGTTTGCTTGAAAAAATCAATTGCCTAAATGTGCCCCCCAACCTGTCAGACTGGCATCTGTCGTAATGACCACCCAATCTATTTCCCGCAAGGGGAACCCTCGGGAGAGATTTTCCCACGACATCCACCATAGGAGCTTCTGCTTCAGAACAAAAGGAATGCGAATCAGTGTCTCCCACTCCCTCGAGTTGGTCCTGAAATTTTTCAGAAAAAATTGTTGAAGAGGGCGAAGGTTCCACTGAGCCCACCTGACAAGCTCTATTGTAGAGGAAAGAGTCCCCTGAAGCCTCATAAACTCTCTTGCCGATGCTGAAGTCTTCAGTCTGAAGTCCCTTATCCGATCTCGAAGTATGATCTTTCTGTCGTGTGCGAGGGATACAATTGCCGTGTCTGTATTGAAATTTGCTCCAAGGAATATCAGTTCTCTTAAAGGATGCAAGTGACTCTTCTCGTAATTGATGAGCCAACCGAAATGAGATAGAGTGTCGAGGACTAGTTGTCTGTGTTGGGATATTGATCCTAGGTCCGGGGCCACTACCAGGATGTCGTCCAGGTAGTGAAACACCGCTACACCTTCTTTTCTGAGCAAAGCAATAATGGTGACCAGAACCTTCGAGAAGGTCCTCGGGGCCGTACTTATACCAAAAGGAAGAGCCTGAAATTGAAAGTGTTCCTTCCGGACACAAAACCTGAGAAACTTTTGATGGGTGATCATGATAGGGACATGAAAATATGCATCCCTGAGATCTACTGATATCATCCAATCTTGGTGATGAACAACCAGAATGATGGAGCGAATGGATTCCATGCGAAATCTTCTGACTCTCAGATAAAGGTTGAGCTGGTGGAGGTCTAAAATAGGTCTCCATTTTCCCTCCGGCTTCTTGACCAAAAACAGGGGAGAATAATATCCCTGGAATCTTTCTCTTATGGGTATAGGTATGATGGCTTCTTCCATAAGAAGATTGTTGACATAAAGACTCAAAACCTCTCATTTTCGGATGTTGGCAGGAAGCCTTGTACGAATAAACCTTGGTGGAGGTGGATATTCTTCGAATTCCAGATGATAACCTCCGGTGATAATGGATCTTACCCAAGCATCTGGAATGATTTCCCAGGCCCTCTGAAAGAATGAAAGACGTGCTCCCACTCGAGGAACCTGGAGTAAGCCACCTTCAGAATTGCTTGTTGGGGCAAAAGGAAGAGGTCTGCGTCTTGCCCCTAGAGGATTTCCCATTCAGACCGCTCTTCCAATTGGAATTCCTTGAGAATTCTCTGCCGGCCTGTAAGTCTTACTTTTCCTAAAGTAGCCTTGATCCCTAAAAGGTCTACGGTCCAGACGAGGTCTCTTTGGACGCCTATCTTGTGGCAGCATGACCTGTTTAACCTCGGCCGCCTTTTTAATAGCTTCATCCAGTGGTTTCCCAAAAAGCACTTCTCCCATAAAGGGAAGTGAGCATAAATTATTCTTGGATGAAAGGTCTGCCCCCCAGGATCTCAGCCAAAGCGCCCTTCTAGCGGTGACTGAATGTGCCATAACCTTAGAAAGAATTCTAATGAGGTCAGTGGAGGATTCCAAAAGCCAGTCACTGGCGAGTTTGATATCCCTTAAGGATTCCGCCATCTGACGTCTACTAACACCTTTATCTATGTCATCCTCCAAGTCAAGCAACCAGGAATGCATGGCTCTAGACAAAGCAGAAATGGACACAGCTGGATGGCAACCGCTGTCATGAAAGCTTTAGATAAATCAGCATCAATCCTTTTATCCATGGGCTCCTTAAGGGAAGCATTGCTATCAATTGGTAGTGTGGATCTTTTAGCAACCTTAATGATAGGCGCATCAGCTTTGGGGACCGTAGTCCACAATCTGGAATCCTCCTCTTTAATCGGGTATAACTTCGAAAGCCGACCTTGACTAGTAATCCTTTTACTAGGAATTTGCCACTCGTTCCTCATCAGGTCTTTAATAGAGCTGTGGACTGGAAAGGAAGGTCTTTTCTTATGCAAATCTCCAAAGTGTCTGTCAGAAGCTGAACATTCTCTGGTTTCTTCCTCCAAATCCAATGTTCTTCTAACAGCCATAATTAAATGCTCCATAGTTTTGGAGTCCAAGGAGCAAGGTTGTTCCATATACTCCTCTTCACTGGACGAGATTGGCTCCAAATCCAGGTAAGATGAAGTCTGTCTGTATGCATCGTCAGACTGATCTGAATCCATGCCGAAGGTCTCCCCTCTTGATCTCTTGCTCTTGTGGGATTCAGCAATTCCCTCAACCACTGCCTGCTTAATCCAATAAGCAATATCCTTGGCTGAGGAGGTAGAGGCTTGCGGTGACCTCTGGCGATCAGATTCTCCTGCGACCATGGTTAAGCATCTTCTGCAGAGCCTGCAGTTATCCAAAGGCCTTGCTCCACATCCAGGGCAGGCTGCCGGTTTCTCCCTTCTCCTCGATGGGGATCTGGGACAGGACCGGTCACGAGGGCTGTAAGATACAGAAGTCATAAGACTGTACCCTCTGTGCACTCTTTTTAATAACGTGAAAAAACCAAGAAAAAATATTGCTCAACTATGACCTATAGCAGATCTCATTGATTTTGCAGAAGGGGATGATGGATCCATACTGACTGTAGGGCTAAGAACATTAAAAAAAAAGGTAATGTATTCCCAGCCCAATATTATGATGATTTTAAAATATAAGTAATTTTCTTACCTGCAGAGCTTTAAGAACAGTCTACTAGAGCACTGTATCTTTAAAGGGAACGGAAACGAGCGTTTTTTAGGCTAAATACCGCCATTTCAAATTTCCCGCGCTGCACCTTTAAAGGATCGCACATGCGCACTTCGGTCGCGAGATCGCTAAACCGCCATTTTGGAAAGGGGCAAAATTCACTCTGAGTCCGGTCGGGCGCATTGTGCATGCGTGAGCGGCTTAC